CGGGAAGTCACATGCAAAAGGGTAGCCATGGAGCCCCCAGGGGACCACGCCACGTCCATCCTGCTGGGATCTGGCCACAACCCCAGGGCCTCCCCAGAAGACGCCGGCAGTTGAGCCAGGGGGCATCAGATTTCTCAGCAACCCCTGAGGCTAGAAGACAGCAGAGGGGCATTACCATGACCATCAGGAGAATGACCCCTGCCTCACAGCCACGCATAGCCAGGCTTCCAGTGGAGCTGCGGTGTGCGTGTGTCATGGGACATAGATGCATGTGTGTCACAGGGATGTCGGTGCCCACATGTCACAGGGACAGTCTACATGTGTCATGGGGATGTAGGTGCGCACGTGTTATGAGGATATTGTTGCACATGTGTCACAGGGACGGTGTGTGTGTGTGACAGGGACATGGTTGCCTGTGTGCCATGGGGACATCTGTGTGCCTGTGTCACGGAGATGTTGCCTGTGTGTCTTGGGGACGCAGTTGCTTGTGTGTCACGGGGACATGGTTGCCTGTGTGTCTTGGGGACGTGGTTGCCTGTGTGTCATGGGGATGTGGTTGCTTGTGTGTCATGGGGACGTGGTTGTGTATGCATCTTGGGGACGTGGTTGCGTGTGTGTCATGGGGACATGGTTGTGTGTCTTGGGGATGCAGTTGCCTGTGTATCTTGGGGACGTGGTTGCCTGTGTGTCACGGGGACGTGATTGCCTGTGTGTCTCGGGGACGTGGTTGCCTGTGTGTCTTGGGGACGTGGTTGCCTGTGTGTCACGGGGACGTGGTTGCATGTGTGTCTTGGGGACGCGGTTGCTCTGTGTGTCACGGGGACGTGATTGCCTGTGTGTCTCGGGGACGTGGTTGCCTGTGTGTCTTGGGGACGTGGTTGCCTGTGTGTCACGGGGACGTGGTTGCATGTGTGTCTTGGGGACGCGGTTGCTTGTGTGTCACAGGGACGTGGTTGTGTGTGTGTCTTGGGGACGTGGTTGCCTGTGTGTCATGGGGACGTGGTTGTGTGTCTTGGGGACGTGGTTGCCTGTGTATCTTGGGGACATGGTTGCCTGTGTGTCTTGGGGACGTGGTTGTGTGTCTTGGGGACACAGTTGTGTGTGTGTCATGGGGACGTGGTTGCCTGTGTGTGTGGGGACGTGGTTGTGTGTCATGGGGACGTGGTTGCCTGTGTGTGTGGGGACGTGGTTGTGTGTCTTGGGGACGTGGTTGCCTGTGTGTCTTGGGGAGTTGGGTGCACATGGTCATGGGGACATTCTCAGAAAAGCAAAGGGCTACTCAGTGCTCCTCCCTTGCAGTTCTGCCTGAGATGCTCCTGGAAAATGTGCTCCCGTAGAACTAGGAGTGAACTTCGGGGAGCACAGGGGACAAGAGGGAAGGGAGTCCCAGGCGAGCAGGGCTTCAGTGCAGCCGTCCAGATGGAGGCAGGCAGAGGCTGGGGAACGACTGTCTCCACGAAGCGTGTGAACCGCACAGCCAGGTGTGCAGTGCTGCAGGGGGGGCCATTCACCAGGGGAACGGAGGACGCTTGGCTGTGGGCCGTGGAGCCACAGTTCATTTCCCCCTCGTTCTTTCAATCTGGTCCTTCTTGATCTGTTTTCAGATTCACCGACTCATCTGCCATCTGTCAGCTGTCAAGCACAGTCAGTGAGTCAAACACATTTCAGTGATTACACTTTTTATTGCAGAGTTTCCATTTAGTTCTTTTATGTAGTTTCACATAATCTTCATTTCTCTCTCTCCTTTTACTCATTAAAACCATATTTTTAAAATTTTATTCATGGTTTTTTGGGGTTTTCTTGAGACAGGGTCTCGCTCTGTCACCCAGGTTGGAAGGCAGTGGTGTGATCTCGGCTCTCTGCAGCCTTGATCTCTGGGGCTCAAGCGACTCTTCTGCCTCAGCTCCCTGAGTAGCTGGAACCACAGGCATGAGCCACCACACCCAGCTACTCTTTAGTTTTTTTGTACAGAGTTTCACTGTGTTGTGTAGGATGGTCTCGAACTCCTGGGCTCAAGCGATCCTCCCGCCTCAGCCTCCCAAATTGCGCCTGGCCTCTTTGAACTTTTTGAACATGTTTTCTGTTCATTCCATGAACACAGTTGCAATCATTGTGTTAAAGTCTTTGCCAACACCAATAACGTTGAGGCCTCCCTCGAAGCTGCTTTCTGTTCTCTGTTTTTTGTGTTTTTCTGCTTGTTTATGGGTCGGATTTTCTTGTTTCTTTTTCGGTCTTGTGATTTTTATTATGCACTGAGTTTTGTGAATTATCCATTGTGGAAACTCTGGATTGAGGTATCGTCCTCGGAAGAGCATTGTGTTTTGTGAATTATCCATTGTGGAAACTCTGGATTGAGGTATCGTCCTCGGAAGAGCATTGTGTTTTGCTCCTGTGGGCTGTTCAGCTTCTGGCTGAGTCCCTTGAATGTGGGGTTGTGTCTTGACATTTTGTCCTGGGCTCTTCAGAGAGCCCAGGGCCTTTCTCAACCCTCCTAAGTTGCGTCTGGGTGGGACTCGACCCCCACCCAGAGGCCGTCCTTCTCCGGCTTTCGCAGGTTTGCTCTGGATCTGTCCTCTGGCTTTCGCGGGTTTAGTCTGGATCTGTCCTCTGGCTTTCGCGGGTCTCGTCTGGATCTGTCCTCCGGCTTTCGCGGGTCTCGTCTGGATCTGTCCTCCGGCTTTCGCGGGTTTAGTCTGGATCTGGTGGGAGGCCTTCCTCTCAGCGTGGTCTTCGACTGTAGCTGTTCTGGTCCTGGCTGTGTTTTGATGTGGTCCTTCCTCTGGGCTGGGCTGGACTGCAGTGTGTCAGGTGCTATGTGGCCTCTGGTATCTCCACTGTATTCTCAGCCTTGGGGCCATGGGTCCTGGGAGGTTTGGGGGTCCTCCTGCCCCCACACTCGCTGTCCCAGCAGCCCCTCCTGCCAGTGTGTGGCCCCCAGCGGCCCCCTCGGCATGGTGGGACTCTGTGCCCAGCCCGGGCTCCAGCGTGGGGAGCAGCTGTCCTGGGGCCGCCTTGGGCACGGCTCTGCTCTGCTGTCGGGAAACACAGCCTCACACTGCCTGTTGTCCATAAACCGGTTTCCTAAGATGTATCATCGGGGTTTACATCGTTTGCAGTGGGAGGGCAGCAGTCCCTCCCCCACGGCAGAGCAGAGTCTGGAGCAGCCCACGTGAGAAAGGAAAAGCCATCCTAACCCTCCACGTGACACGGCTGGGAATGGTGTTAACGTGGCTACGATCGGCCTCTGTCAGTCCTGAGTCCACAGACAATGTCCACGTAACTTGGTTTAGGAGGTTGTGTTGTTGTGTGTTCAGGGGTGTGTGTTGGCCCGCAGGTAAGACAGATTCTCACCCTGCCTGGGCTGAGCTGGTTGGTAATGTGTAAAACTGAAGGCCAAGACGTGACCGTGCTGCCTGTGACTGAGACACACACAGGTCGGTCTCCCCGGGAATGTCTGTCTCCCGGGAATGGCCGCAGTGAGGGCTGCCTGGGGGAGGGCCGCGCAGCTCTCTCCTGCACGCCTGTGTTAGGATTCGGAGTTCTCGTGCTGAGCTTTGTGTAACTGCTGGGGGTGATTCAAACTAAAGCTATACAGTCGAAGAAAGCCTTTTTTTTTTTTTTTTTTTTGAGACGGAGTCTGACTCTGTCGCCCAGGCTGGAGTGCAGTGGCCAGATCTCGGCTCACTGCAAGCTCCGCCTCCTGGGTTTACGCCATTCTCCTGCCTCAGCCTCCCAAGTAGCTGGGACTACAGGCACCCACCACCACACCCGGCTAGTTTTTTGTATTTTTTTTTAGTAGAGATGAGGTTTCACCAGGTTAGCCAGGATGGTCTCGATCTCCTGACTTCGTGATGCACCCGTTTCGGCCTCCCAAAGTGCTGGGATTACAGGCTTGAGCCACCGCGCCCAAAGAAAGCCTTTTTATGCAGTTAGCCGGGCGAGGTGGCGGGCACCTGTAGTCCCAGCTACTCGGGAGGCTGAGACAGAAGAATGGCTTGAATCCGGGAGGCGGAGCTTGCAGTGAGCCGAGATCACGCCACTGCACTCCAGCCTGGGAAACAGAGCGAGACTTGAGCCACGGCGCCCGAAGAAAGCCTTTTTATGCAGCCTTGCGTAAGCAGATTGAAGGAAAAGGGTAACCCTCGTAAGTCTAGACAGGGGTTTTGCATCAGAAACACTCCCAGGGGCCGGGTGCAGTGTCTCACACCTGTAGTCCCAGCACCTCAGGAGGCTGAGGCAGGCGGATCACCTGAGGTCAGGAGTTCGAAACCAGCCTGACCGACATGGTGAAACCCTGTCTCCACTAAAAATACAAAAATTAGCCGGGCATGATGGCGCATGCCTGTAATCCAGATACTGGGGAGACTGAGGCAGGAGAATCACTTGAACCCGGGAGGCAGAGGTTGCAGTGAACCGAGATCGCCCCACTGTACCCCAGCCTGTGCATCACAGAGAGACACTGTCTCAAAAAGGAAAAAAAAAGAAAAAAAAACTCTCTGAGGTAGGCTGAGGTCTGCCTGGGATGAGAGCTGTCAGCAGCCGCCTAGATTCTAACGGAGCCGTGTGCTGGGTCGGCCTTGAGGGTGTCGCTCCCGGGTCCCTGGTCCTGCAGGTGGAGGAGAGCGCCTCTCTCCCGTGTGGCTCCCTCAGGAGCAGGACACACAGCCTGAGGGGGCCATGGCAAGGGGAGTCATGCTGTCCTCAAGAACAGGCCCCTTTGCCCGCCCGTGTGGGTTTGTCTACTGTGCCCCCCGGGGCCCTCCCATCCCCTGCCCTCCCTGCTGAAAGCTGGGGCGGTTTGGCAGGGAACTGGATGCAGGGTCCAAACTTGGCAGCCGTCATGCCAGCTGGGAGAGGAATGTGGAGCTGCCCGCTGTGCTCAGCGACTGGGGGCCCGGGGCACCAGGTCCCTCCACCACCTCCAGGGGCTGCGGGCGTGGGCTCCATGGGCTGCCTGTTGGAGGGGGCTCTTCATTCAGGGGCCCCACCTGATTGTTTCTGCAGATCCTCGTTCCTAGCTGCCTGCCAGCGTCCTCGGCCCGGCCCTGAGGATGGACCCAGGAGACCCCACTGGTGACCCCGCCACTGGTGAGCGCCACTGCACGGGTGAGTCTGAGCCTGATGGTGCCGAGTCTCCCTGGGGCTGTCGGGGAAGGTGTGTGGGGGTGCACACACCTCGGGGGGTGGTGGTGCCCACTCTGTACTCAGTGACGAGGGCCAGGCCGCTGGCCCCTAGCTGCAGGCCTCTCTACAGTGTCCACAGCTTGGGACCCTGTGAGTCCGGAGGCCCCGCTGTGACCTTGCTGTCCTCGGTGTTCAAGACAGGCCGCCTCCTTGGGCCCCAGCATGGGTGGCCTGGCGCCAGGCCTGTGACAGCATCTGGGGGAGGTGGCGGGGACCGTGCAGCCGCTCAGGGCTGGTCGCAGAGGTGGGAGCTCTGGTCCCCTCTGTCCCTCGGGGTGCCAGGCGGAGGGCCCGAAACCCCCTTGGGTGCTCAGCGCCGCCTCCCGGGGTTCAGGGAACCCACAGCCTCTTGAGTCTCGGGCGGTTCCGTGGTGGCCTTCAGTGTTCCTAGTTTTTTACGCTAAGCCTTTTTTCATCCCTTGGAGTTAAGAAGAACATCTGCCCTCCCAGCAGCTTTTTCAGGTTAAAAAAGAGAAATGAGAGGCGCCTTCCCCTGTGGGTAGAGCCAGGGAGGTGAGAGGGGCCTTCCCCTGTGGGCAGAACCAGGGAGGTGAGAGGCGCCTTCCCCTGTGGGTAGAGCCAGGGAGGCTGCATCCCCGCTCAGCTCAGCTGCCCCGGCAGGTTCAGTGCTGAAGATAAACAGCCCGAGGGGAGGTGCAGCCTCCCTCCCTCCTGTCCCTACAAATCAAGACCCTGCAAGTTGAAGACTGGGCCGGGGTTTGGGAGACGGAGGCTGGGAGGGAGTGGAGGCTGCCTAGTGCCTGGGGTGTCAGCCCGAGCCTCAGACTGCTCTCTGTGCCGGGGACAGGCCGGGGCGGGAAGCCTCCTGGGAGGGGCTCAGCCCCCATGGGAGCTGTCCAGGGCCCTGTCTTTGTGGGCAGGGGGTGGGAAGGGGGGCCTGGGACCCCTTCATGTCCTTCACCCTGCAGTCCTTGTAAACAGCAGTGAGCACTGTCAGGCCCTGGCCCGGCCGCCTCGCCCTGGGCTGCGGACCCCCCGTTTGTTGTGGGTTTACTGCCTTTTAACTCACCGCCCCCTGGCCTCTGCCCAGGCCCACCCTACACATGCCCTGCCTGGCAGCCCCTCCATGGGGCAGGGCCATGGCCCTCTCCCCTGTGAAAGCCCCGCTCCCACGTGGCAGCAGCCGAGCCTCTCTGCCTCAGTTTCCCTATCCCATGCAGCCGCCTCCTTGGACCTCAGACCACTCCAGGGACTTCCTCTCCTGTGTTCCCAGTGGGTGCTGAGGGCACCTCCAGGCATGTCGCCTTCCCTGACATATTCAGGTCACCGCGTCTTGGGGGAGGGGCCGCCTCTGAGCTGGGCGGGGATTGGTGTGGATGCGGCCCCTCAGCAGGCACAACCCTGGCTGTCCTGTGGGGCCCTGACCACGCACCTGTCCCTCGGGACGGGCCCAGACCCCTCACCCTTCCGTTCATCCACCGCCTCCTCCGAGGCCATCTGCAGGCCCCGGGCCTGCACCTCTGTAGGATGAGGCCCTGTTACCGCCCCTGGAGACCACCCTCGGGGCCGGGGAGCGCATGGGACCCTGGCTTTGCCTCAGCACAGAGCTGACTCTCCCTGCACAGGTACCCAAGGGCTTCTACAGCCTTTTCTCCACCTAAGCAGAGTGGGATGTCTTCAAAGTGCAACCCCCAGCTAGCAGGGTCCCTGGAACAGCCTCAGTGCCCCCTGGAACACTAATGGCCCTCCCCAGAACAGACACGGCGCCCCCTGGAACAGCCTTGATGCCCTCTGGAGCAGATACGGCACCCCCTGAAACAGCCTCGGTGCCCCCGGAACAGCCTTGGCGCCCTCTGGAGCCGACACGGTGCCCTCTGGAACAGCCATGGTGCTCCCCAGAAAAGCCTGGTGCTCCCTGGAACAGACATGGCCCCCCAGAACAGACACGGCGCCCCCTGGAGCAGACACAGCACCCCCTGGAACAGCCTAGTGCTCCCCGGAACAGCCTCAGCGCCCCCGGCACAGCCTCGGCGCTCTCTGGGACAGGCTGGCGTTTCCTGGAATGGCCACATCCCCTGTCCCTCCTGTGCCGCTTCAGACACCTGCCCTTATGTGGTCAGTGTCCAGCTCTGTCAACAAGGCCAGCCCCACAAGAGGCCCCAGCTCAGCCCTCCCCAGCGGGCTCCTCTACTCGGGCTCTGGATCAGCTTCTTCGCGGGAGGTGTCCTGGCCCCTGTGCTGGCCCAGCCTCGCTGCCTGGACACCTGTCCGCGCCACCCTGGTCACCGAGGAGGACATCCGTGTCTGTGACCCCTGGGACCCTGCCCCCGAAAACAGCCAGGCCTGGGTTTGTCCTTTTAGGTAGAGTGCCTGGTCCGGGTCATTGGAGGAGCATCCACGTGGCCACCTCTGGAGAGGCCCTCCCACGCTGGGTCAGGAGGCGTCATCGGGGGCAGGAAAAGGGGGCTGAGCTCCTGTTCCTCTCTCCCTCCCCCGAGGCCAAGAAACATTCTCCATCCGAATGTCCACGGTGATCACAGATTCCTCCTAAAACTTCAGCCTTGGCTGGGCACGTGGCTCACGCCTGGTATCCCAGCACTTTGGGAGGCCGAGGCGAGCGGATCACGAGGTCAGAAGATAGAGACCATCCTGGCCAGCATGGTGAAACTCCATCTCTACTAAAAATACAAAAATTAGTCGGACGTCGTGGCGGGCGCCTGTAGTCCCAGCTACTTGGGAGACTGAGGCAGGAGAATTGCTTGGAGGCAGAAGAATTGCTTGAACCCAGGAGGCAGAGGTTACAGTGAGCTGAGATTGTGCCACTGCACTGCAGCCTGAGGGACAGAGCGAAACTCCATCTCAAAAAAAAAAAACAAAAAACTTCAGCTTTTGCATGAGCAGGCACAGCTGAGGTCTGAAAGGCCATGTTGCCCACATCCACCTGGTTTGGGGGTTTCCAGGCAGCGCTTGAGCCTTCTCTGGGAAATTCAGAGTCCCACAGACGGCATTAAACTGTGGCTCAGCACCAGGGCTGGCAGGCGGTGCGGTGGGGGCGGGGAGGCCAGCCCTCTGGCAGATGCAGCAGCTCCAGGAAGCCTGCCGGCCTGGGTTCCCTTTCCCTCCACATCCGCCGCTCCTCCCTGTCTTGCTGGGCTCCGAACAATGGGAGCCTCCAAGGCTGAGGCTGTCCTGGCTTCCCAGAGGAGGTCCCTGTGCTACAGCTTGGCCTGCTGGGGTGCCTGGGGCTGGGGACATGGCCACCTTCACATCTGGTGTCCACACTCCAGACAGGGGCTCCTCAGCACCCGCCCAGTGTGGACACGGCGGTGAACAGGGCAAGGCCCACAGGAGAGGCCGCTTTTCCTATGAAGCTCCGTGATGAGCGCGTGCCGCTCTGGTAATGCACAGTGAACGTGCAGGTTCCTGGAGACGC